TTGACAGTAACTGATAACAAGGGCTGAATCCCTCAGATTTATTGAGGCAAAAGCTGGAGGAGAATCTGATCTGAAAAGAAAGACCTAGTGGGGTTATTAGTTTAAATAAAAAAAATAAATTTTATGTAATAATGGATTCAAAGTGAGAAAACTCCAAGAATCAGGTGATAATTAGTGAGAAAGGAGATAAGACATCCTTATAACAGTCATGCTTCCTACTGGGAGATTTTCTCTCATTTCTTGTCATTATCACATGATTTGGTGAAAGCTTTATACATTTTGAGATAGATTCAATGGCAAGACCTCCTTCCATTCTCTCTCTCAGGTAAATGGGCACTGGCCAAGAAGAACAAACAGTGTGGTTTCTTGGGAAGAATTTGGGAGAAGGCTGATATCATAAGCTAATGTAGAGATGGAGCTGTCCAAAATGTCTGAGCTGTGCAGCTTGTTTCATTTTGGTTGGGCCTTTTGGGAGACTGTAAGAAAAATAAGGAAGTAACGGAGGGAAGATGGCCGAATAGGAATAGCTCTGAAGTGCAGTACCCAGAGAAAGTGACACAGAAGGCAAGTGATCATTGCATTTTCAACTGAGGTGCCAGGTTCATTTCAATGGGACTGGTTGGACAGTGGGTGTAGCACAAGGAGGGCAAACCAAGGCAGGGTGGAGCACTGCCTCACCGGGGAAGTGCAACAGGCTGAAGGACCCTTCCTCCTACCCAATGGAGGCCATCGGGGACTCTTCTGGTCACTCTGGCACTCTGGTTCACATACTGCACTTCTCCCACAATCTTTACAACCCACAGACCAGGAGATTCCTGCTGGGCTGACAAGCACCACAGGTTTCTGGCACAAATCTAGGCAGCCATTTTAACTGGCACCTGGAACACCTGTGAGACAGAGCCACCCATTCCCTTGAAATAAAGGGGGCTGAAGGCATGGAGCCAAGTGATCTGGCTCGGGAGGTCCCACCCTCACAAAGACCAGCAAACAGAAAGCTGCTGGCTTGAGAGTTTCACAGCCAGCATAGCAGTTTGAGCTTGACCTGGGATGGTTGAGCTCAGTGGGGGGAAGGGCATCCGCCATTACTGAGGCAGTCCCCCATTACAGAGGCAGTCCACCATTACTGAGGCAGTCCGCCATTACCGAGGTACTTCTAACTTTACCTGTGTAAACAAAATCACAAGGAAGTTTACATAGCAGCTGGGCAGAGCCCACAGCAGCTCAGCAATATCTCTGCAGGCAGAATATGACTAGAATCCCTCCTTGCTGGGGACGATATCTCTGAAAAAAGACAGCAGCACGTCAGGGACATATAAATAAAGCCCCACCTTCCTGGGACACAGCACCTGGGAAAAGGGTCAGTTTTGAGTTCTGCTGCAGCAGACTTAAACATCCCTTCCCAGAAGCTCTGAAGAGAGCAATGGAGCTCCCAGTACAGCACTTAAGCTCTGATAAGAGACAGACTGCCTCCTCAAGCAGCTCCCTGACCCCCATATATCCAGAGACAGCTCATACAAAAGAGCTCTGGCTGACATCTGGTGGTTACCCTTTTGGGATGAAGCTACCAGATGAAGGAACAGGTGGCAATCCTTGCTGTTCTGCAGACCCTGTGGGTGATTCCCAGGCAAGCAGGGTCTGGAGTGGACCTCCAGCAGTCCTGCAGCAGAGTGGCCTATTAGAAGGAAAACTAAAAAACAGAAAGAAATAGGTTCAACATAAACAGAAAGGACATCCACTCACAGACACCATCCAAAAGTCATCAACTTCAAATACCAAAGGTAGATAAATCAATGAAGATGGGAAGAAACCAATGCAAAAAGAATGAAATCACCAAAAACCAGAACACCTCTCCTCCAAGGGATTACAACTCCTCACCAGCAAGGGAACAAAACTGGATGGAGAATGACTTTGATGAACTGACAGAAGTGGGCTTCAGAAGGTGGGTAATAACAAACTTCTCTGAGCTAAAGGAACATGTTCTAACCCAATGTAAAGAAACTAAGAACCGTGAAAAAAGATTAGACAAAATGCTAACTAGAAAAACCAACTTAAGAGAAGAACATAAATGACTTGATGGAGCTGAAAAACACAGCAAAAGAACTTCGCAAAACCACACACAAGTTTCAATACCTGAATCGACCAGGCAGAAGAAAGGATATCAGAGATTAAAGATCAACTCAATGAAGTAAAACAGGAAGGCAAGATTAGAGAAAGAAGAGTGAAAAGAAATGAACAAAGCCTCCAAGAAATATGGGATTATCTGAAAAGACCTAATCTATGTTTGATCAGTGTACCGGAATGTGACAAGGAGAATAAATCCAAGCTGGAAAATACTCTTCAGGATATTATCCAGGAGAAATTTCCCAACTTAGCAAGGCAGGCCAATATTCAAGTCCAGGAAATACAGAGACCACCACAAAGGTATTCCTCAAGAAGAGCAACCCCAAGGAACATAATCGTCAGATTCACCAGGGTTAAAATGAAGAAAAATGCTAAGGGCAGCCAGAGAGAAAGGTTGGGTTACCCACAAAGGGAAGCCCATCAGACTCACAGCAGATCTCTCTGCAGAATCCTTACAAGCCAGAAGAGACCGGAAGCCAATAGTCAACATCCTTAAAGAAAGGAACTTACAAACCAGAATTTCATATCCAGCCAAACTAAGCCTCATAAGTGAAAGAGAAATAAAATCCTTTATGGGCAAGCAATTGCTGAGAGATTTTGTCACAACCAGGCCTGCCTTAAAAGAGCTCCTGAAGGAAGCACTAAATATGGAAAGGAACAACCAGTACCAGCCACTGCAAAAATGTACCAAATGATAAAGACCATTGACACAATGAAGAAACTGCATCAACTAATGGGCAAAACAACCAACTAGTATTGACATGGCAGAATCAAATTTACACATAATAATATTAACCTTAAATGTAAAGGGGCTAATGGCCCCAATCAAAAGACACAGACTGGCAAACTGGATAAAAAGTCAAGACCCATCCATGTGCTGTATTCAGGAGACCCATCTCATGTGCAAAGATACACACAGACTTAAAATAAAGGGATGGAGGAAGATTTACCAAGCAAACGGAGAGCAAAAAAAGCAGGGGTTACAATCCTAGTCTCTGATAAAATAGACTTTAAACCAACAAAGATCAAAAGAGACAAAGAAGGGCATTACATAATGTTAAAAGGATCAATGCAACAAGAAGAGCTAATTATCCTAAAAATATATGCACCCAATACAGGAGCACCCAGATACATAACATACTGCCCAAAGTAATTTACACATTCAGTGCTATCCCCATCAAGCTACCAATGACTTTCTTCATAGAACTGAAAAAAACAAAAAACCACCTTAAATTTCATATGGAACCAGAAAAGAGCCCACATAACCAAGACAATCCTAAGCAAAAAAAAAACAAAGCTGGAGGCATCATGTTACCTGACTTCAAACTATACCACAAGGCTACAGTATCAAAACAGCATGGGACTGGTACCAAAACAGAGATATAGACCAATGGAACAGAACAGAGGCCTCGGAAGTGACACCATACACCTATGACCATCTGATCTTTGACAAACCTGACCAAAAAAAAAAAGCAGTGGGGAAAGGATTCCCTGTTTAATAAACAGTGTTAGGAAAACTGGTTAACCATGTGCAGAAAGCTGAAACTGGACCCCTTCCTGACACCTTATAAAAAATTACCTCCAAGTGGATTAAAGATTTAAACATAAGACCTAATACCATAAATATCCTAGAAGAAAACGTAGGCAAAACCATTCAGGACATAGGCATAGGCAAGGACTTCATGACTAAAACACCAAAACCAATGGCAACAAAAGCCAAAATAGACAAATGGGATCTAATTAAACTTAAGAGCTTCTGCACAGCAAGAGAAACAATCGTTAGAGGGAACCAGCAACCAACAGAATGGGAGAAAATTTTTACAATCTACCCATCTGACAAAAGGTTAATATCCAGAATTTACAAAGAACTAAAACAAGTACACAAGAAAAAAAAATCATCAAAAAGTGGGCAAAGCATATGAACTGACACTTTTCAAAAGATGACATTTATGTGGCCAACAAACCTGAAAAAATGCTCATCATCACTGGTCATTAGAGAAATGCAAATCAAAACCACACTGATACCATCTCATGCCAGTTAGAATGGCGATCATCAAAACATCTGGAGACAAATGCTGTAGAGGATGTGGAGAAACAGGAACACCTTTACACTGTTGGTGGGAGTGTAAATTAGTTCAACCATTGTGGAAAACAGTGTGGTGATTCCTCAAGGGCCTAGAAGTAGAAATTCCATTTGACCCAGCAATCCCATTACTGGGTATATACCCAAAGGATTATAAATCATTCTATTATAAAGACACATGCACGCGTATGTTCCTTGTGGCCCTGTTTACAATAGCAAAGACTTGGAACCAACCCAAATGCCCAGCAATTATAGACTGGATAAATAAAATGCGGCTCATATACACCATGCAATACTATGCAGCCATAAAAAATGATGAGTTCACGTCCTTTGCAGGGACATGAATGAAGCTGGAAACCATCATTCTCAGCAAACTGACACAAGAACAGAAAACCAAACACCTCATGTTCTCATTCATAAGTGGGTGTTGAACAATGATACCACATGGACACAGGGAAGGGAACATCTCACAGTGGGGTCTGTTGGGCAGCAGCGGGGCTAGGATAGCAGGGGGTGGGGAGATTGGGAAGGGATAACATTAGGAGAAATACCTAATGTAGGTGACAGGGGGATGGAGGCAGCAAACCATCATGGCTTGTGTATACCTATATAATAATCCTACAAGATCTGCTAATGTACCGCAGAACTTAAAGTAAAATTAAAAAAAAAAAAGAAAGAAAAGAAAGAAAAATAAGGGATAAGCAGGGAACACTAATCTTTCCCATAATAGGATGTTCAGTTTTTGGAAGCTAACTATTAATAACTGGTTAGAAAGAGGTTGGGTTTACTTACTCACCCAGAGGTGGCTGTAGCATACCCCCATTCTTTTCACAGTTCCCAATAGGCTGGATTTCAGCTGAGTCAACTAGCCGCCAGAAGTCATTTTTGTTGTCGCTGCCGTCAAGGCGCAGGCGAAGGCGGGCCCCTGTCAGTCCAACTACTGTGGCAATACAGGTGGATGTGGTGTTCCTGGGGTCCTGTGCTTCCAATTTCATGCTGATCTTGAACTCGTTGCTTGGAGGTGTGTAGGACTGAGAAAAACAAGGTGTAGGATTTAGACAGATTAAGAGTTAAACCCCAAAATTCATGTTTTGGATTCGAATTGGTTATAGCAGACAACTACTCTGAATTATTCCCTAATAATTAAGAAAGGTTTCATGCAAAAAAAAAAACAATGAAAGATAAGACGAAGGGGAAAAAATTACTTTCCACTGAAGCATCATATAGACCCATACCAGCAATAAAAAGGACAAGAATGTCTTACATAGCCAGTTAATTAAATGTTTTCTCATCCTATAATTGTCTAACTTCCTACCCTTCCAGGTATGACATTTTCTTTTTAGGACAACTACATCCTATTAAACTATCATATTCTTAGCATCTCTTCGTGGAATATTTCAGTATATTGATATGTATATCTACCACACAGACTACTGGGGTTAATTTTTCTTATTTTGACAATAACTTACTAATCAATTCATATAACCGACATACAATAAACTATACACTTTAGTAAGTCTTGACATATGTACATACCCTTGCTACCATATACAACATAAAAACCTGTGAAAGCATCACCACAATCAAAATAATCAACATGGCCATTACCCTCAAGTTTTCATGTGCTCTTTTGTAATCTCTTCTTCTGGCCCCTCCAGGATCCCTGTACCCAGGCAACCAATGATCTACTTTTCATCACTGTAGATTGTTTTGTATTTTCTAGTGTTAGATGGAATCATAGAAGATGTACTTTCTTTTTTGTCTAGCTTCTTTCACTCAGCATAACTACTCTAAAATTCATCCATATCAATAATTCATTTCCTTTTATTGCTGAGTAGTATACGATGCTGGTGGACATCTGGTTTGTTTCTAGTCCTTAGTGATTACAAACAAAGCTGCTAGAAACATTTATGTACAAACTTTTGTAGGGAAATAAACTTTCTTTTCTCTTGCACAAATACCTAGGAATGAAATGGCTGGATCATATGGTAGGTATATGTTTAAATCATGAAATAGAAAATTAACCCTTTTAAGGTGTATAATTTACTGGTTTTTAGAATATTCTCAGAGTTGTATAAACATCCCTAATTTTATAACATTTCCATAATCCCCCCAAAATGAACCCTATACCCCAATGGAGTCACTCCCAATTACCCTCTCAGCCTAGTTCCTAGAAACTATTATCTACTTTCTGTTTCCATGGATTTGTCTATACTGGACATTTCATATTCATGGAATTATATAATGTGTGGCCAATATGTGAATAGTTTCTTTCACTTAGCAAAATGGTTTCAAGGTTCACCCATGTCATAGAGTGTATCAGTACGTCATTCCTTTTCATGCATGAATAATATTCTATTGCATGAATATACTACATTTTGCTTACTTATTCATCAGTTGATGGACATTTGGGTTGTCTCCTCTTTTTGACTATTATGAATAATGATGTGATGAACATTTATGGTATGTTTCTCTGTGGACATGTCTTCCATTCTTTTAGGTATATACTTACGAGTAAAACTGCTGGGTCATGTGGTAACTCTATGTTTAACATTTTGGATAACCTCTGAACTGTCTCCTAAAGTAGCTACAGGATTTCATAATTTCACCACCAATGTATGAGGGTTCCAATTTCTATTTCCTCACCAACACTTGCCATTGTCTTTTTGATGCTAGAGTCATCTAGTCAATGTGACATGTATCTCATTGCAGTTTTGATTAGCATTTCTCTAATGACCACTGAGCAACTTTTATGTGCCTAATTGGTCATTTGAATATATTTGGAGAACTATCTATTCAAATACTTCATCCATTTTAAAATCATGTTGTCTTTTAATTTCTGAATTTTAAGAGTTCTTACTATATTCTGGATACAAGTCCTTTATCAGATACATAATTTGCAAATATTTTCTCCCATTGTGTGGCTTGTCTTTTCATTTTCTTGATGATGTGGAAATGAAAAACTTTTAATTAGAAGTTCAAGTTATCTATTTTTTCTATTGTTGTTTATCTATTTTGGTATTATATTATCTAATCCAAAGTCATGAAGATTTCCTTCTACATTTTCTTCAAAGAATGTTGTAGTTTTAACTCTTACATTTAGGGCCATGATCCACTTGAAATTAATTTTTGTATACGGTATAGAGGTTCCAACTTCACTTTTTTAATATGGATATCCAGCTGTTTCTGCACAAGTTGAAAATCCCATTGAACTGTCTTGATAGCCTTGTCAAAAATCAATCAACCATAAATTGGCGGGTCAATTTCTGTACTCTCAATTTTAATTCATGAATTATGTCTATCTTCATGCCAAAACCATGATGTCTTAAGTACTGTAGATTTGTAATAAGTTTTGAAATCAGAAAATAAGAATCCTCCACCTTTGTTCTCTTTTCAAGATTGCTATGGCTACTCTGGGTCCCTTGTAAGAATTTCAGCACCAACTTGTCAATTTCTGCAACAAAGGCAGCTGGAATTTTGACAGAGATTGTATTGGATCTACATATCAATTTGGAAAATAATGCTGTCCGTTATGTGGTTTGCAAGTACAGTCATGTTCCACATAATTATGTCTGGTCAAAAACAGACTGTGTATCGATTGTGGTCCCGTAAGATTAAAACGGAGCTAAAAAAAATTGCTATATCCTAGTGATATCGCAGCTGTCTTAAGGTCCTAGAGCAACACATTACTCACATTTGTGGTTACGTTGGTGCAAAAAAACCTACTACACTGCCAGCTGTATAAAAGTATAGCACATACAATTATGTACAGTAGATATTTGATAATAAATGACTATATTACTGGTTTGTGTGTTTACTACATATTTTCAATCATTATTTTAGGGTTTATTCTTTCTACTTATAGGAAAATAAAAGTTAACTAAAAAACAGCTTCAGGCAAGCTCCTTCAGGAGGTATTCCAGAAGAAGGCATTGTTATAGATTACAGCTCTATCCACGCATATAACTGCCCATGAAGACCTTCCAGTAGGCTCAGAAGTAGAAGTGGAAGACAGTGATACTGATGATCCTGAGTCTGTGTAGGCCTAGAGTACTGTATGTGTTTGTCTTAGTTTTTTAAAAAAAGAGTTTACAAAGTAAAAAAACAAAAAAACAAAAATTATTTTTATACAGCTGTACAATGTGTTTTACGCTAAGTAGTACTGCAAAGGAGTCAAAAAGTTAAAAAAATTTTAACTTTATAAAGTGAAATGGCTGCAATAAGCTAAGGTTAACTCCTTATTGAAGAAAGAAAAATTGTTAAATTTAGTGTAACCTGAGCATACAGTGTTTATAATGTTGACAGTGGTACATAGTAGTGTCCTAGGCCTTCATGTTCATTAACTACTTACTCACTGACTCACCCAGAGCAATTTCCAGTCCTCCAAGCTCCATTCATGGTAAGTGCTCCTGATATGGGTGTACAAGTTTTAATACATCTTTCATATTTTTTATTGTACCTTTTCTAGTTTTAGATATGTTTATATACACAAATACCATTGTGTTACAACTACCTACAGTACTCAGTATTTTAACTTGTTGGACGGTTTTGTAGCCTAGGAGCAATAGGTTACAGGCCTCGGTGTGTACTAGGCTGTACTATACAGGATTGTACAAGTATATGCTATGTTTGCACGACAATGAAATTGCTTAACAATTTATTTTCAGAAGATATCCCTGTTATTAAATTAAGCAATGTAAAACTATTTTCTCATAGTCTGTGGCCTGTATTTTCATTCTCTTACCAGTGTCTTTTGAAGAGCAGAAGCTCCTAATTTTGACCAAAGTCCACTCATTTTTTTAATGAATCAGAATTTTGGTCAGGCATCTTCTAAAGTTTTCTTTATATAAATTTTGCATATTTGGTAGTTCCTCCCCCTGCCTCACCCACCCTTTGGCTGCTATTGTAAATAGTAGTTTCTGTTCCATTGTATCTACTATTGAATTATTTTAAAACCCTGAGTAAAATGCTGGTTTTAGTACTAAGACATAAGTATTTCTTTTTAAGCAAAGAATGTATTACTCAATTCCTAGTTTATATGGTGCTTTCTTTTGCTCAGTAGTGTGTTAAAGTTCTTCTGCCTATTTTTCAAAGTAGTTGAACCACTTTGCATTTCGCCAGCAGCATATCAAAGGATGTTCTACATCCTTGCCACTATTTAATATGGTCAGCTTTTTGAAAATCAGAGCCATTTAAATAAATGTGTATGTAGTGATAGCTTGTTAATCACTTCTAGTTTGTATTTCCCTAATGAAATAATGGTATTGAGCATCTCTATTCATGTACTTACTTGCCCTGTATACATTTTCCTTGGTGACTGTTCTAATCTTTCAACCCAGATCCCTTTTATTTCTTCTTCTGGCCCATTTGCATTGGTAATACAATACTGAATAAAAGTGGCAAGAGCAGATATCCTTGTCTTGTTCCTGACCTTAAGGGGACAGCATTTAGTCTTTCACCATTAAGTAGGATGTTATTTGTAGACTATTAATAAATGTCCTTTAGAATTTAGGATTTAGAAAGTTGCCGTCTATTTCTAGTTTTGTGAGAGTTTTTATTTAAAATAGACATTTAATTTTGTTAAATGCTTTTTCTGCATCTATTGAGATAATAGTATTTTTTTTTTCTTTAGCATGTATGCACGTGGTAAATTCCCCTGACTGATTTTTGAAATTTAAGCCAACTCTGTATTCCTAAATTAACCCCACTTGGTCATGAGTTACTCTTTTTACATATTGTTAATTTTTGTCCTACAATTTTACTTAAAATGTTTACATTTATTTTCATGTGGGATACTGCTGCACAGTTTTCTTTTATCTCAATGTCTTTGCTTGGTTTTGGATCAGAAATGTTTGCCTTTACAGAATGAGTTAGGAGAGACCCTTTTCTGTTAAATTTTCTGGAAGTCTATATAGAATTTGTAATATTTTTTCCTTAAATATCTGAAACACCAGTGAAGGCATCTAGGCCTGGAATTTTCTTTGTGGAAAAGTTTTTAACTACAAATTCAATTTCTGTAACAGAAATAGTG